CCTCCTCGGGGGGATGGCCACACCACAATTCTTTCTCCTCCATTTTCTTCTCAGGATTTTGGACACTCATGGACTTACACCTGGCCTGATTTTCAAGCCACTGGGCCCAGGACTTACACCGTGATCCACCATATGGATATCTAGCTGCTCTAACCACCATGCCACTTGCTGGCCCTCAGAGAATTCTTTATGGCTTATTATTTCAAAAATGGCAATTCCCTGTTCTCACTTCCCTTTTTTTCCTCCAATTAATTTTCAACCTTTTAGATGATATTTTGTTATTTACCTGGATGTTTCTAAAAATCTTATTTATATTGCTACTTCTTTATTTCTTTGAAGTTCATTTATTTCTAGCATGAGAGGGAGGGCGAAGGAGGCAGCCCCAGCAGGGTTTTCACGCCATGATCCACCCGCGCGTCCCAGCTGGCGTCCTGGGCATGCCTGTGTCGGTGAACCCAGGACCATCCCACGTGGATCAGGTGGTGTTATCCCAGCACCAGCATCTGGCCCTGATAGATTGCTACCTCCTGACAGTCGAGTTTTAGGTATTTTCTGTTAACTCATTACAAAGGAGGAGCATTTCTTTCTAGCACTCCCTTTCTACTTTTCCCTGCTCCCATGCTGCCTCTCCTTGGCCGTCTCGCCCCCTCATATATAATAGTTACAGTTTTGGCCAGACCAGTGTTCAGCGTTGACCTCTCGATCACCGTGTGACAGCAGAGCATTTGAGGTGGCTGCTGTGCTGTACCTGGTAACCCTGATAACCCGTCATGATCATCGTGAGCCCCACTGTCTAATGCCGCTCACCCCCATTCTGGCCTCACTGTCCTCCTTATTCCGCTGAAATTCCACGGTTCATTATATTCACTCCTTCAAAAGTATATTGAGCCACTTTGCTTGCCGCGTCACACCTGTTTGGCGAAACTCAGCCGTCATTATCTCCAGTTTCCCATGGACTCTGCCGACTCCTCTGGAGCCACATGAGGCCGGGCAGACCAGCCTGAGTGGTGTAAGGAGGTCTGAGGGGCCCGATGGCCGCTGGCGGTCACACTGCCTTGCTCGGCCTCTCTGGGGAGGTTACTTCCTGCCTTCTCTGCCCGCTAGAGCGCACCTCCCACCCCAGCTCTCTTACCTGGAGCCTCTGCACCCTATTTTACTGATGAAGTGAAAGCGGCAAGAGAATTGCTGCAAGCCCCCCTCTGCGATTGTCTGTCCATGCCCTCTCCCCGGGGCAGGTCAGCGGTCTAGAAGCCCCGTCAGGCCAGTCAGTTCCTCGTCCACTCCTCCTTGTCTACTGGAGAACAAGGTTCCCGAAACTCTCCCGCCTCTCCCCCACAGCGCCCCTCTCCTGGACCATGTGTCTGTGCAGAACCATGCTGTTAGCTCCAGCTCCTAAACACAAGCCCCTCACTCTGTTTCCATCATCTCCCCCAAACCTTGGCTCCCCTTTATGGCAAAGCTTGCAAGCGTTGGCCTGTGCGTGCTCTTGCCAGTCCTCCCGTCCTCTCCTCCGCTGGATCCGCCTGGGTTTCCACTCCCAGCACCCCACCCGGACAGCTCTTGTCAAAGTCACCTCATTATCTTCGGAGGCTCCCAGGGCTCAGTACTGGGACCTCTTCTCTTCATGCTCTCCTCGGGATATCATCCCTCTCAGGGCTTTAAATACTCATGGCCGTGTGCCAGGGACTTCCAGATTTACCCTCCATTGTCACCTACCTGCTCACCAACATCTGTACTTGGGTGTCTTTTTAATTTTGCTAGAGGGTGTGTGTGCTGGCCAGAGTGAGCGAGCACCTCCCACAGAGCGCGGTCATGCCGCAGCCTCTCTACATCGCCACCAGCAAACCCCCTGCTGCTTTTGTGGTTGCAAAGTCTTTTCTTACCTCTGAAGATATCATGGATTTTTAAAAAAACATTCTCTTCTGCCTATGAATTCTGCGTCCTCCGAGCTGCCTCATCTGTCTCCATCTCCGATAGGGGCTTTCCCCAGGTGACCCGTGATCCCCGAGTGTCTGATCACAGCTAAGAGCTGGCGTTACCAAGCCAATCAGAAGCCTGCAGGTGTGCTTGTTAACACGGGGTTCATCGTGGGGGGACTGGATGCACCACCGAGGGCTCTGGCATTGGTGTCTTTAGTGCCCTCTCCTTGGGCTGGTCAGATTCTCCGAGAAGGTCGTCTTCCCATCTTCCTGCAAGGTGCTAGCATGGCTGCCAATTTTCTAGGATCCGTGGGTACAGGGGACGAGGGAGGAGGTGTCCATGTTCGGCTCATAAAGCCCCGTCTTCTGTGGGGTAGCCCTATCCTCACGGCACCTGACTTCTCTAGTCCACAGGCCCCTTCTGCCAGGGCAGAGTCACGGAGTCTTGAAACTACTCACAGAAGAGGGGAGACCGAGGCTTCACTCCTGCCGGAATAGACGTCTCACCATCCTGCCATGCTCACCTTCACCTGTGTTGCCAGAGGTGTGCAGCTGTCCGTTCTGGGCTCCTCCACTAAGTCCCCATACGTCCATCTGCCCTTCAGTTTTCCCCTTTCCTCTCCTGTTCACTTGCTTTGTAAGTTTATGCACTGTAAAATATTTTAATCCGCTCGCTGATGTTTTAGTAGGGTTTTGGGAAGGAATGAAAATGAGTGCACGTGTCCCGCCTTCACCTGAAAGTCTCCCAAGAGGTAAAGAGAGACATCACCTCCTCGGGGGGATGGCCACACCACAATTCTTTCTCCTCCATTTTCTTCTCAGGATTTTGGACACTCATGGACTTACACCTGGCCTGATTTTCAAGCCACTGGGCCCAGGACTTACACCGTGATCCACCATATGGATATCTAGCTGCTCTAACCACCATGCCACTTGCTGGCCCTCAGAGAATTCTTTATGGCTTATTATTTCAAAAATGGCAATTCCCTGTTCTCACTTCCCTTTTTTTCCTCCAATTAATTTTCAACCTTTTAGATGATATTTTGTTATTTACCTGGATGTTTCTAAAAATCTTATTTATATTGCTACTTCTTTATTTCTTTGAAGTTCATTTATTTCTAGCATGAGAGGGAGGGCGAAGGAGGCAGCCCCAGCAGGGTTTTCACGCCATGATCCACCCGCGCGTCCCAGCTGGCGTCCTGGGCATGCCTGTGTCGGTGAACCCAGGACCATCCCACGTGGATCAGGTGGTGTTATCCCAGCACCAGCATCTGGCCCTGATAGATTGCTACCTCCTGACAGTCGAGTTTTAGGTATTTTCTGTTAACTCATTACAAAGGAGGAGCATTTCTTTCTAGCACTCCCTTTCTACTTTTCCCTGCTCCCATGCTGCCTCTCCTTGGCCGTCTCGCCCCCTCATATATAATAGTTACAGTTTTGGCCAGACCAGTGTTCAGCGTTGACCTCTCGATCACCGTGTGACAGCAGAGCATTTGAGGTGGCTGCTGTGCTGTACCTGGTAACCCTGATAACCCGTCATGATCATCGTGAGCCCCACTGTCTAATGCCGCTCACCCCCATTCTGGCCTCACTGTCCTCCTTATTCCGCTGAAATTCCACGGTTCATTATATTCACTCCTTCAAAAGTATATTGAGCCACTTTGCTTGCCGCGTCACACCTGTTTGGCGAAACTCAGCCGTCATTATCTCCAGTTTCCCATGGACTCTGCCGACTCCTCTGGAGCCACATGAGGCCGGGCAGACCAGCCTGAGTGGTGTAAGGAGGTCTGAGGGGCCCGATGGCCGCTGGCGGTCACACTGCCTTGCTCGGCCTCTCTGGGGAGGTTACTTCCTGCCTTCTCTGCCCGCTAGAGCGCACCTCCCACCCCAGCTCTCTTACCTGGAGCCTCTGCACCCTATTTTACTGATGAAGTGAAAGCGGCAAGAGAATTGCTGCAAGCCCCCCTCTGCGATTGTCTGTCCATGCCCTCTCCCCGGGGCAGGTCAGCGGTCTAGAAGCCCCGTCAGGCCAGTCAGTTCCTCGTCCACTCCTCCTTGTCTACTGGAGAACAAGGTTCCCGAAACTCTCCCGCCTCTCCCCCACAGCGCCCCTCTCCTGGACCATGTGTCTGTGCAGAACCATGCTGTTAGCTCCAGCTCCTAAACACAAGCCCCTCACTCTGTTTCCATCATCTCCCCCAAACCTTGGCTCCCCTTTATGGCAAAGCTTGCAAGCGTTGGCCTGTGCGTGCTCTTGCCAGTCCTCCCGTCCTCTCCTCCGCTGGATCCGCCTGGGTTTCCACTCCCAGCACCCCACCCGGACAGCTCTTGTCAAAGTCACCTCATTATCTTCGGAGGCTCCCAGGGCTCAGTACTGGGACCTCTTCTCTTCATGCTCTCCTCGGGATATCATCCCTCTCAGGGCTTTAAATACTCATGGCCGTGTGCCAGGGACTTCCAGATTTACCCTCCATTGTCACCTACCTGCTCACCAACATCTGTACTTGGGTGTCTTTTTAATTTTGCTAGAGGGTGTGTGTGCTGGCCAGAGTGAGCGAGCACCTCCCACAGAGCGCGGTCATGCCGCAGCCTCT